ATGAAATACTTCTAAATAAAATCATCTAGCCATTGTTTAAACTCGTAAAAATTGGGCAAAATCATGTTGAACCGTTGCTCAGGCACAAACTTTTGCATTTAGATAGATAGTTACATACGTACGGTAGTTACAAACATAAAGATATATAATATTTAGTAGGGGTAGAAATTATAACAAAGAGGGAACAAAAAAAAAGGAAAAGTAGTGGACTTTAATAGGCTGTAACGGTAACCGTGTGACATATATTGTGCTTGAGGACTATATAAAGAGCCTACTACTTTTGAAAAGGCCGGCAACGCATCTGCAATTCCCCTGGTTCCCCTGGTGTTGCAGTTGTTCTTGGGCGGCGGTAGTCACTTACTATCAGGTGAGCCGCATGCTCGTTTGCCCCCTCTCCTATAAAAATAATAATATATAATGCTTGAGTGTATGCGCAAGCACTGGTGCATTCTTTATTTCCTTACTGTCATAGTCCGATGGGACGGCATCCCGACACGACCGGAGAGAGATCAAGCGCAGAACCAAAGCAAACCTATACGTGCTTTCCGTGGCACGAAGGTGAAACACCGTCAACTTCCTAACTCTGGATTGCTCCTGAGAATATATTGACAGAAAAACTCTATAACCTATTTTGGCTCCACCCGGGGTTCAAGGCCAAGAATCTCATGATCCAGAGTCACGCTTAGCACTAAACCCACGAGATATTCAATACATAATTTTACTTGTCCCTGTGCATGTTAAGACCTAACTTTCAGGACACTATTGCGGTTACTTAGCATAATGCCAAGGGCATTATGCTAAATGATCTCTCTTTGTACTGAACGAATATAGGTCTAGGGTATACTTGAATTATGTATGTAATAATGTTTTAAATTTTCTCACGGGACATGAAACTTATGGAACTATCCAATGAATTACTTTCAGTACGTTACCTCAGAAAAATCGTTCATTTACGGCTCAATGCTTGCGAAAAAACACTTCATAGAATCTTATTCTGAGGTTTAGTCCCTCAATTTTTCTTTATCAGCCTGTAGCTGACTCTTGCTGGATATGTACTTCTAGATATTAAGGGAGGATTTGCCATGCATGACTGGCAGATTAGCGATCGTAGTACCAGACGTTTGCAAAGTTCACTCTGCATAGTTGCTGGTCTGAATATTTTACATTTGGTGTACAAACGAGCGAAATGGTATTGTGCCATCTATAGAAAGCCATAAGATTGCTCTGACATTTCCCATGGTCGCCTCTCACGACACCCACGGATATTCTCTTACGCCGCTACCAAACGGAACCTAGAACACCTGCAGTGCATCGTTACATACTCCACGAAAGTTGTTGCATCCCTTTGCATTTTCTTTCGCATTAACCACGGGGAGTGCTCTAAGGAATTGTTCGGATTAATGCCAGCCGTCAAACGTCACGTATACAGAACAGAACAGAAACTTTTTTATTCAATATAGATTATAAATAATACTAATTTAAAGTCACTCTTTTGTTTGATTACCACTGGTTCGGAAAAAAACTCTGTCCTGGGAAGAACCAGCAAGAAACCCAGCGGGACTTTTTTTTTAAATAACAGCTTACAATCATGATGTTACACAAATTAACAACACAACAAATTAGAAATAGCACATCGTGACAGAACTCTCGATACCATCCACACCATCTGGATGATTGTCGGTCCACCACTGTGCGATTTAAAAGATGTTTTCTTCCTCGCACAACTTCCTTGTGGAATCGATTACCATCAACGATTTTTTCGGACCGATACGACTTATGGCGGCTCTTCACGTTGGCCAACATAGTGGCGAATGTGTTGGCAGATATATTGGCCAAGAATTTGTGATCGCGTCCACACGTTGGAAGGTCGTTCAGTTTGCTTCGGTTCAGGCCAATGTGCGGACGAATTTATTAAAATGATTATTGAAGCGCTAACGGCTATTGCGGTTGATTTATTCACAGCATACCACTATTTTTATTTAATTTTAACTATTTTTAATATTTAATATTTTTAATATAAATTTTTAATATTTCTTTATTATACACTAACGTTATACAGATAAGTAAACTATATAAACATTAACACACCTAGGCATAGGTATAATTAACTAAGGCCTGGAAAATATTCGAAGCCTGTCTATGAAACTGTTGTAATTTTTTTATTAAACAAAACCTTTTTAAAAAAGGGTTATTATATAATTATAGAATATATTTATTTATTTACACTTTCATGCACAAAGTAGTACATATGGCGAACTTAATAATAATAAATAATTTATTTCGTCAAACATTAAAGTTACATTATACGATCAGTGATCGAGGTTACCTAGTCATCATCATCATCATTACAGCCCTTCACAAGTCCTCTGCTGAACATAGGCCTCCCCCAAAGAATGCCACAAAGCACGGTCCTGAGCCACCTGCATCCATCGACTTCCTGCATATCTTACCAGGTCGTCACTCCATCTAGTGGGGGGACGTCCTACACTTCGCCTGCCGGTACGAGGCTGCCACTCGAGAACCTTTTCCTAGAGTCACCTAGTAAGCAAAATAATACCTGTAACAGGTGACTTCGCTCTTCCATAGTTAAAAATTACAGTATTATTAAGGAAATAAAGTACCTAACTAATAGGGAATAATAAAGACAGTAAAAACATGATTTTAGTATCCTAACTTTTAATTTGATTTTAATATCTTACCTAGTCTCCTAGCATTAATACATCAATAAATCAATTAATACATCAATAAATAAATTAATACATCAATCACTACAACGTGAATGTGTATAAGAAAAGGGTGATCAAAAAGAAATGGAAAAAAAGAAATTTTATTTCTTGGCGGCTCCGTGGCGTAGTTAGCAATGAGTTGCTGCGCTGGAGGCCGCGGGTTCGAATCCCGCACGCAACAAGTATTTGTATAGCCTGCACATAATTGCTCCGGGTCTGGATGTTTGTCCTTATGCAATTTATGTTTCTAAACTGCCTCCACGATATAGGAGAAAATACTAGTGTGGGGGTAACGTTTTGTTTTTAAAAATAAACTTGTGTTTCACAAACAATTTTCAGCTTGGTAGGGCTCTATAAAGCGAAAAGTTTTTTCATTGGTCATTGTTACTGCCGTTATGTAGAGATGCGTGCATATAAAATTTAAATCAGGTGCGTGCAATCACTCTGGGAGCTCATAGCAAATTGAACGTGTGCGCAACGTGTGGACGCGGCGGCCAATACTCTGCCACAACCCTTTGATCTTTTGTAAAAAAACCGACACCAGACGGATCTCGCACCAACTTGTGGGCCATCGTTCCAATACGTACCAACGTAGCTTAAACACCCGCTCTACACGATGGCCATCGTTGTTGGCCACCACATTCGCCAGTATGTTGGCCAATGTGAAGAGCCGCCTTTAGGGACCTTCAAGAAAAGAGCCTACTTCTTTATAAAAGGCCGGAAACGCTTCTGCAATTCTCCTGGTTCCCCTGGTGTTGCAGTTGTTCATGGGCGGCGGTAGTCACTTACCATCAGGTGAGCCGCATGTTCGTTTGCCCCCTCTCCTATAAAAAAAGTGAAGTGAACTGTAGCAATGTTTGCGTGTATGTAATATTTTCACTACTGGTAAGTGGGAAGTCTCCCGGAAATATAAAATTCTACCTTAAAACCGCCAGCTTATTGGGAGATTGGCTGGATTCATATTTTGCTTTATATTGACACGAAAAATATTACGTGTCAATATAAAGCAAAATTCCTTTAATTTTCGTATAAGCACGCTACCTGTCTCGTATACGGGATTGAGAACAGAAATCACTAAGCTCTTCCCCTCGTATCTAACGTATAATATGTGCCAGCTAATAACGTTATATTTTCCGTGCGCATGAAATTTTGTTCCTGAAACTTAGTATATTTACATGGTTCCTCAGTAATCCATTCTAGTACACAGTCATTGTAGCTTGGTTACAATGATTTATTATCTTAAAGTTCATCAGCATAAATTACACTCATAATGATATTGTAAGAATCTCGATGTTGTGGCAGAAAATTGAAAAAAACTTCACAAAATTTTTGAATCAAATTCAACGTATGTTCTGTCTCCAAATTATACGTCTTTTTATTTTAAATTAGAACATGATAAGAGAAAAGAATTTATGTGTTTTAATGTATACATTTCTGATGGAAAAGGGAAAACGTGTAAGTTTAAATGGAAATAAGCAACACTCCAAAGACAATTATGAAAAGTAAACTCGCGCCCCTAGAAAAGTCTGTCTCGCATGTCAAATTTTTCGTGTGTCACTTATCACGTTTCATTTTGAACGTAATATGTAATTGAATTTCACCCAACGTTATTTTATTACTACGTTATTTATAAAACATTTGATCATGAAGTTATAATGTCGTCGTATCTGATATATGCGTATTAAATCTTAGAACCGTTTAATGAATTTTCTAAAGCCGTAGCTCGTAAACCTTGCAATTAATAGCATTAATTATATGAAAGTTTATATGTTGTGAAGAAATAATAAAATATATAAAATAAATAAAATCTATAAAATCTGGTAACATTCACAGCTGCGGAAAGGTCTTTGTTTATTTCTAGATCGTATTTGCGTTGTAAGAGAATCTAGTGAAACATATTGTACCCTGGTTGTAAAAGACGAAAAAGAGAAGCTGATACAGAAGATGGGCACCAGCCTCTTCTTGATAACAAAAAATACAGACGCAAACCCCCTACCAAGCTTGGCAACTATGACAAATATTCTTCCAATGAGACAATCTTTAAGGGAGACCTATGTTCAGCAGTGCACATGTGATGAATGAATGATAGGTCCACTTTACACCAAAGAGCCCGTCTTATCATCATCATCATCATTACAGCCCTTCAAAAGTCCACTGCTGAACATAGGCCTCCCCCAAAGAATGCCACAAACCACGGTCCTGAGCCACCTGCATCCATCGACTTCCTGCATATCTTACCAGGTCGTCACTCCATCTAGTGGGGGGACGCCCTACACTTCGCCTGCCGGTACGAGGCTGCCACTCGAGAACCTTTCTTCCCCATCGGTTGTCGGTTCTTCGAGCTATATGGCCGGCCCATTGCCACTTCAGCTTACTAATCCGGTGGGCTATGTCGGTCACTCTAGTTCTACTGCGGATATCCTCATTTCTGAGTTTATCACGCAGAGAAACTCCGAGCATAGCCCCCTCCATAGCTCGCTGAGCGACCTTGAGCTTCCTCATCCGGCCAGCAGTGAAGGACCACGTCTCAGTTCCGTATGTCATCACTGGCAACACGCACTGGGTGTACAGTCTCGTTTTCAAGTTTTGAGGTATACCTGACGAGAAGATGTGCCGTAATTTCCCGAACGCTGCCCAACCGAGTTGAATCCGTCGATTGACCTCTCGGTCGAAGTTGGACTTACCTAGTCGGACTATTTGTACCAGGTAAACATACTCGTCAACAACTTCGAGCTTAGTGTTCCCAACAACTACCGGCATAGGTGTGACATGGACATTAAACATGATCTTTGTTTTGTCCATGTTCATCTTAAGACCTATCCGTTGGGAAACACTATTGAGGTCATTGAGCATAGTGCTTAGGTCCTCCAGCGATTCTGCCATAAGGACTATATCGTCGGCAAATCGAAGGTGAGTGATGTACTCGCCATTGATGTTGATACCGTATCCTTTCCAGTCCAGAAGCTTGAAAACATCTTCCAATGCAGCTGTGAAGAGTTTCGGGGATATGACGTCACCCTGTCTTACACCTCTCTGCAATTGGATAGGTTTCGTACTCTGGTTCTGTACTCGGATAGCCATGGTAGCCCTACTGTACAAGCACTTCAACACTTCGATATACCGACAGTCAACTTGGCATCGCTGAAGGGACTGCAGCACCGCCCAAATTTCGACGGAATCAAAGGCTTTCTCATAGTCCACATACGCCAGACATAGTGGCAAATTGTACTCCTCGGACTTCTGTACAATTTGCCGAAGGGTATGTATGTGGTCTATGGTGCTAAAGCCTTTTCGGAAACCGGCTTGTTCGGGAGGCTGGAAGTCGTTAAGTCTGCGCGCGAGACGATTCGTAATGACTCTCGAAAACAGCACGTAGACGCGGCTCAGAAGGGAAATCGGTCTGTAGTTCTTCAAGAGAGCGTTGTCACCTTTCTTGAAGAACAAGACCACCGCACTTCTGCTCCACGCCTCCGGTGTAATGCCACCATGGAGGACGGAATTAAAGAGCTTCTGAAGGACTTCAAGTACCGGTTTTCCACCCGCTTTCAGAAGCTCCGCTGTAATTCCATCCTCGCCTGGGGCCTTGCCGTTTTTAAGGTGCTGGAGAGCCATTCTAATCTCGCTCAGACTGACGTCCGGGATATCATCGGAATAATGTCGGATAAGACTCGCTCTTGGATCGTTACTCACACTTGCGTGCGGCTCCAACGATGACGTGTACAGCTGCCCATAGAACCTCTCAATCTCACTCAAAATCTCAGGTGCCCCGGAAACGATGCTGCCACATTCTGTCTTCAGCTTTGACAGTTGGCGCTTTCTGGCAGACAGATCTCTGGCAAAGACTTTGGTGCCTCGGTTCCGCTCGATCGCTTCTTCAATACGAGCTGTATTGAATTTGCGTAAGTCCCGCCGCATGCATTTGGAGATCTGTCTGTTCAGTTGCCTGTATGCTGTTAAATCTGTTGAAGAATGTAGCTTCATCTCCCGTCTAACAGCCATGAGATTAAGAGTGTGATCGGAGAGTTTTTGTGTTCTTCTGCGGCGGGTCTTGCAGAACTTAGCTCCGACCGCATGGACAGTTTCCACGAGCTTGTCATTCAAATCGTACACTTCATTGCAGTCTTCTAGGCACTGAAAACGGTTTTGTAACTCGAGCTGAAAGGTTTCGGGACTTTGGATTAGAGCACGAGGGGGACGGAGCGTTGACTTCATTAGACGAGACCTCTCCAACTTAACGTTTAGGTTCAGTGTGCCTCTAACCATTCGGTGATCGCTGCCGGTTTTCACCCTCGCGATCACTGAGACATCACTGAACAGTTGTCGTCTGGTCGTCATAATGAAGTCAATCTCATTTTTTGTCGAACCGTCGGGGCTCGACCAGGTCCACTTCCTGTGGGGCCGCTTCTGGAAGAAAGAGTTCATCATAAAGAGTCCCTCTTTCTCCATGAAGTCGGCCAGCTGCTGGCCCCTTGGGTTCCGTTGCCCTATTCCAAATTTCCCTACTTTCAGCTCACCGTTCTCTCTTGTGCCTAGTTTTGCATTGAAGTCTCCCATTAACACCGTATATTGGGTTTTGGAGGAATGCATGGCTCTAGAGATATCCTCATACATTTCCTCCACCTCCTGATCGGGGTGTGCCGAGGTTGGTGCGTAAACCTGTATGACCTTCAGCGAATACCGTTTAGTGATTCTGAGTATAAGGTACGCAACCCTCGTCGACACACTCTCAATCTTTACAACGTTGTTAACGAGAGACTTGTGGACGATAAATCCGACACCTCCTTGGGACAGATGGTCACCCTCCCGGTAATAGAGCAAGTTGCCGGATTCGAGGATTACCGTGTCCTCCCCCTCTCTTCGGACTTCGGATAATCCTATAATATGCCAGCGTAACTTGTCTATCTCTTCTTCCAGCTCCACAATCTTCTCGTCAGTCCTCAGGGTGCGTGCGTTGTATGTTGCCAGGTCGAGTCGTCGTAGGTGGCAACCGAACCTCCACCGGAGATTCTTAGCACCCCCTGCCCCGCCGTTACCATGGTCGCCACCGTAGCCAGGAATAGCGGGGCCGCCGGGGACTGGGGGCCGTTTATTATTGTCATTGCTCATGGGGGGTATATTGCCATAGTTGCCACGCTTGGCGAGCGGGTTGGCAACCGCAGTTTTTTTTTATTGTTATTTTGGCTATTATCAGGAAAATGCTGCTGCCCATCTCCTGCCTGTTTCCCTTTGTCGCCTTTTACGACACCCACGGGAAGATATGGGGTAGTGGATATTCTTAACCGCCACTACACGGCTAGAAAGATAAAACTCTCTTACCTATTTTGCCACTAAACATGACTAATATTAATGCTGTGCTGTATGGTAGCTGTAGGATATGATGCTGTCTCGTGTTTTTGATAGCATCCGGATAAGAAATTACCAAACTTTTCTATGTTTAATTTCTCTCTCTGAATCTCCCCACAAATTTTTTTAAAACCAAATTTAATTCAATGCAGAAAAAGTGAAAACTCGAAAACTTTCTTCTCCGTCCCACTTTCTAGAGCGATCAGATCAGAGGATTTCATACTATGGAAAGGCACTAACAATGTTTCAACTATTAGGTGTAGTGTTAAATATTTGTAAGTCTTTAAATTTTCTTAAGGATGTTTTGAAATTAAAGTGGCGTATGCTTTTCAAATAATTTTCCTGTTAAATCATAAATGAAAACAAAAATTCATATAAATTTAGACTATGTAGTATAAAATCTACAATTTAGTTTATATATAGAAAAGTCAGATTGACAGGATGGAGTGAAGTTTTGCTAAAATTAGATTAAAATCTGATTGGATCAATTATTAAATTCCCTTCTGTCATTTCCAGTTATTTACAGAAAACCTCGAAAATGACTTACTAATCGAAGCGTAGATATTTGTATATTACTTATACGATATCATTAAAAGATATCCTAACTCGACTTATCCCACCAGCGCCCTATGCGACAAAATGGCTGGTTGAGTATCTTTATGTTACATAATATATCCATCCAGATGGACAACTGCTCATGTGCAAATGCGATGATTACGAATTTTCACCGCCCTCACCAGTTAAAGTTACATATTTAACCCCTTACCCCCTAAATCTGTAGTTGTATTTTTTTACCCGCGTGTCACTACCTGTTATGTAGTCCTTCGTGCCGGTCTTTTTTTTTTCGTCGGGAAATCCTCATGGATACCTTCCGCTGCGTGGGCAACAAAAGGTTATGCCGGACTCCTACCGGCTAAAACCCCACGGTGGTCATCATCAGCGTATAAGAGGGGTCCCGAGATCTCCGTTCGGAACGCAAACGGGGCCCCTCCATCGCTTTGCTACACTAATAGCACGTCCCAGGGGCAGTACTTTCTGCCCCCAGCACCCTCGCAGTTCTTCCACGATGTCTCGAGACTATTTCCGAGCCATCGTCCTCTTCGGGGGTTCATAACTAGGCGCTCGAGGCCCCCGCTCCGAGCGTCTGCAAACCCGGAGGCCCCGTTTCTGGTAGGGAACACCGTTTTCAAGAGGAGGGCCGTGACGAACGTTTTGGTGACGTCGTCTTCACCCGGGATCCGCCCACTCCCGATCCCGCTCAGGAGCCTCCTTCTGAATCATAACAGATTCACAGAAGGTAGCTACGGCCCTCCACGCCGAATACCCGCTCAGCATCGCCGACACAACTGCTGGCAGGGAGAGGTCCCGTCCGATGCAGTTTACCAGGATTGTCCGTTCCCGTAAGCAGATATTGTGAATTGCGGCAGTGATTCAGATTGCCCTGGAGAACTTTAAGGGGTGTGAAATTTATTTTATTTTTCGACCACCTCCATTGCCGAGTTAGAACTCGGTGCAGGGACTGATGTCGCTGTGTCCGGCGTATTTATGGATGCAGACGGAGTGTGCTCGTTCTTACTTCCCTTGTTTTTTTTAGGAGGTGGGACGCACTTTTTACCCAGTCTGTGGTTGGCAGGCCACCCGAGATCTGAGCACAGAGGACACCTGGGTTCCGACGCGTTGCACTGTTTGGCTCCGTGTCCAGGCTCACCACAAGCGTAACAGCGTTCGGCTCTATTCACTTCATTGGGGCACCTGCTAGCAACGTGCCCTCTTTCAAGGCATCGAAAACAATGCATGGGCCTGGACTCAAGTACCTCCACTTGGGCAGACCCCCAACCTATCCGTACTCTCCTAACGGCTGCAATCTTATGGATTGCCAAGACAGGACATCGTACCCAGCACATCCCCATGCGAGTGGGTGTTCGTCGGACTTCCCCGACTTTTATGTTGTCTATTGAACAACCCCCTGTTTCAGCTTGGCTTTGGTTTTGGCTTCCTCCATTACTTTAGCATAAGTAACGGAGGAGCTTTCCAACACCGTGACCGTTACTGCTGCAGAAGTCGGGGCACGCAAAATCCTTTTCTTTTTGCTCCTTTTTTTCCTTTTTTGTGTTGTACTCAGAGGCGAAGCCGTCGTGTTGGACCACTTTTGGATGGCCCTTGCTTTTTTCGACTTCTTAGCAACTTCCACCCACGAACTGACATTCGGTGCTGACTTATTCAACACAGGTGCACCTACTGGGGGAGAGCGGCTGGCGGTGGAAAGGTGGACTTCTTTTTTTTCCTCTTCTTCCCTTTGTCTCTTAGCCTTCTGCGGCTGCAGTAGTGCCTGTAATTCCAACGGTTGAGGTGGATGTGCTGACAATTGCGGCAACGTTGTCTGCGGCTTATTTGCCCCTGCCAGTGGAGGCCGGATAACCCTATCTGGAAATATCTTGGCCTCAAAGATAGCCAGCTTTCTCTCA